GGGGGGGGGGAGGGAGAACATTGAGGCCCCCCATGGTGAGGAAGGGAGTAGGGCAGGGGCAGGCACTGCTCAGCTGGGGCATGAGACAGAGCTGCAGGCAAAAAAAAAAAAAAAAGCATATTTCCAATACTGTCAGTTTTCCCTATATCGGTGTCAATCCGATATAGGACCAATGTATTGGTGCACCTCTACTGAAAGCATCATTTCATAAAGTGATGTAATATAATTTGGTCCTAGCTATGCCACTGTCTGCATTTTTACCAAATCAAGTTAATAACTGACCTTATTAGCTTTGTCTTTTATGACAGGGGGAAGGAGGGATGGGAATGTTCACCAAGTCACTAAATATTGGCAAATTTGGCCATTTTAACCTGTGTTAGTTGATAAGATTTCAGTGTTCAGTCATCACAGTTGTGTTATATTAGGTACAGGGTTGCTTGCATTTTATTGCAAATGTGTTCAAAACACCTTTTCTTGGGTATCTACTATATAGACATTGGGATTGAAAGGTGTTATTTAATTGGCTAAGCTAGCTGGCCTAGAAAAAAAACAAACATGTTGGCAGTAGTTTACCTTAAACTGCAACTTGTCAGAGAGATGCTATGCAAGTCACCATGATTCACTGATGAGCAGTATTAGAAGAAAGGAAGGAAGGAAGGAAGGAAGAAGGAAGCTGGTGCATCACTGGTAGGAAGTCAGACACAAGTACTTCAGTGTAAGTTTTTCCTGAAACCACAAGCCACAGCTCTGGTAAAGACTGTGGTTCTCTCTGCCCCCAGGAGCCAGAGTGGATAAATCAGTTCTCTTTTATATTTATTTAAAATTTAAAATTATTACAACATACACTGAAGGAAAACATATGCTATAAATTATTATTATAACAATTTCAACTAAATGAAACATTCAAACAGTATATGTTTGTTGCTGAAGTTTAAAGAAAGCCAAACCACTGAGCTGAAGGACATCAATGGCCAAGTGCCTGCAATCATTTTGTAGAAAAGCAGCTTCAGAAAGCAGTTGCTTCTTTGGAAGGTACAGAGAAAATAGTTTCCTTTATCTGATTAATTCATTTTACTCTAAACTGTGAAACCAACTGGGAGTTGAAATAGTTCCTTTTTATTTGCATAAATGAAAGATTTGTGTGTGAAGATGAGAACTACTAGTTCTCAGATCTTAAAGGATATAGGTTTACCAAAGGTAGAGGCTGATTAGTCTGGCATAGTCTCTCTTTAATGTAATAACTGTTTGTTTTGTAGACAAGGGAAATGGATCAAATCTATCCAGGCTTCAATAAAGCATATGTTGCATCACAACAGGGAAAATAAATTAAGTTGAAAGAATGTGCATTACTGCAAGAACTGTAAGGTTGGCAAGAAAGTGATTAAGGCAGGCACTCGACTAGAGAGAAGATAATAGTGCAGTTCTCCAGAATTAGTTTTTGGACCAATCTGATTTAATATTTTCATTAATGATCTTTGTACATGACATAGGAACACAGTAATAAAGTTTGGTAATGACAAATTAAATCAAACATTGCCAATACGAAAGAGAATAATAATATCATAAAGGAAAAACTGGATTATCTCGAAGAATAAAAAAAATAAAAATGGGAAGGAGTCTGATACTATGACATGCATAGTCATACACTTAGAGACTAAAAAGAATTTATGCTATGAACTAGCAGCTCATTCACTGGAAACGGCAGAAGAGAACACACACCAGGGTGGAGCTGTCAACTCCAGGATAACTATGACCTACCAATATGACACAGGTATGATAAAGGCAAATGCAATCCTAAAATCTATTACGTGAGGTATATCCTGTAGAGCTGAGTAAGCATGAATGTAATCGTACAAGACATGGATGAGAGACGTCCTGTGAGAACTGCATATAATGCTGGTTCCTCATGTTCAAGAAAGCTGAACTCAAACTTGAACAGGTACAGAAAAGGGCTACTAGAATGATCAAGGGAATGTACAAAGAAAAAAAGTTAGGCCTCAAACACCAAGAGGAAATACTGCTTTCTAAATACAGCTGAGGGGTTAACACCAGGAAGAAATGCTATTTAAAAGACAATATTGACGCAGAACAAATGAATATATAATACTGTATTATGCATGCTGTGAACAAGTTTAGGAGTAGAAATTAAAAGGTTTGACCATTGTCAGAATCAGGTCCTGGGAAAGCAAAAGCAATTCTATGTTCAAGTTCTATCTTGAGACTGTTCAACTTAGGCAGTCATGTCATATAATCCCTTTCGTGTCATAAGCAGGGACTGGACTTGACCCTGGAGCCCCTTCCAGTCCTTATTATAGCACCTAGAAGTTACTAGCTCATAACTGTTGACAGTACTACGTTTAATACGTTAGCTTTAAATGCAGGGTGACATGAAGGGTACAAATTGAAAAACATCAATGAATTCTGATTTCCAGTCAAATGCAGCTTGATGAAGGCCATGAAAAAAATTCTACACCATGCAAGACTAGTCTAACAAAAAAAAAAGTGAGACCTAAGAACTCAAGTAAATGTACTTGTAAATTTGGGCATGGAGGATGCATTCTTCTGCTTAACAGAAAGCAGAACCAAGTTTAAATACAAGTTCACATATCTTACTTGTTATCAACCAACGGTAATCAACTTTTATTTACTGAACTGAAGAATAAAACTACAAATTAAAAATCAGTAATTTAAAGCAGAGCTGCCTATTTGCCAATTTAAATTATGACTAACCTGGCAATTAAAAATCACTCCTTTCTGCTATGAATGTCTGTAAAGCAGGAGTCAGCAATCTATGGCCCAGGGCTGCAGAGCCTTTGGATCTGGCCACAGCTAGGCACCAGGAGCTTCAACCTAGGGGGAGCTCTGTCCACATGCCACTGCAGCCAGGTGCCAGCAGAAGTGGCCAGGTCCAAGCTGGATCATTCCATACCCTAGATCAGTGGTTCTCAGCCTTTTTTGTACCAGGACTCATTATTAAACATCAACAGCCAGTCCGGACCCAGTGCCCCTCATTCCTGACCTGCTACCCCCACTCCCATACCCCAGTCTCCTAGTGTGTGGGGCAGGGTGGGGTGTGCGTGAGGCATGGGTCCCACCCCCCAAATAGCCTTAACTGATCTCTACACCAGAAGCAGACTCTGCTTGTAGCAGGAAACTGTCAAAAACTTCATGAGAAATATTTTGCAAATACCCTTGCCTCACATCAGAGGTACAGGAAATTTAAGATGAAACTCACTTTCCCCTCACATACAATACGTTGATGGAGCAAAACATTTTAAAGGAGCTAACACATACTAAAGCCACTTTAGCTGAACCAACAAGTGGCTTAAGCAGAACATGGTAAACAGAATTGATCGAGTTACTTGTGTGCTCTTTCCTTTAAAAGGAATGAAAAAAAAAAAAAAAAAGAGGGGGAGAAAAAACAAGATGGCAAAAGCTTCAGATGGTTTCCAGGAAGAGAGGAAAGAAGCAAGGAAAAACAGTGACAATCATGCAATGCATTCTTCAAGAAAAGCGGGGGAAGGAGAGTGAAAGAAAAGGGAGAACCCTCTGCTGCTTTTCCTAATAGACAGGGAGCAAGAACCAAACTTGCCCACATGAAAGACCTGCTAATGTGGGCAAGTGGGTCCAGACAAAAGGTTGAGTCACAGAAAACTAGGGCTGGAAGGGACCTCTAGTCCAACCCTTGCCTGAGGCAACATAATCCCTATCCAAACCATTCCATACAGCCATAATCTAATCTCTTTATGAGACTACCCGCATCCTTGATGCAACATAGACCTAACACCCTAACCTGCCTCGGGAAAGGCAGGAGACCCACAGCAACCTCCACAGTCTGCCAGTCTGACCATGGGGTAGAATTCCTTCTTGACCCCAAATAAGACGAGCAGTCTGACCCTAAGCAGAGGAGCAAGACCCTCTAGCCAGGAACTTCCAGCTTCGCTCCTAGCAGGAGAATCAACACACCCCAGTTGAAGTCCTCAGCCTTAGGCGTAGCCAACTCCAGTATCTCTGGGGAGGCTTAAAAACACCTTGACAAACAAAAAAGGGGGGGGGGGGGGGGGGGGG